TTGGCCTCTGTCTCCTGTCTGATGGGTGTTCTTTCCGCTCCATCAGGCCATCTCCCCAGAAAGGGGGTCAGAGCCAGTGGCCTCCACAACTACCCGGGTAATTAAGACAGGCAGATGATCACACTGGACTGACCATTCAAGCTGACAAATAGAGACGATGCTGGGACATTAGCTGACAAGATCAGCTCTGGTTCTGGTGGGTGACACAGGCAAGGAGAATGTGCTGTCAGGACATTAACCCAAAGTGTGTGCCCAGAATCAGGGAGGAGCCCGGCTTATCTGCCTGCTCTGTCCTATCAGACTTCCCCAGACCTGGACCCACCTCTGGGCTCTGCCCTGGGAGAGGGACACACACCCACTGGGGATGAACAGAGGTGGTGACCAGGGAGGGAGGGGTGAGAGACCCTGAGAAGTGGGGCTGCTCAGACTGGAGGGGGTCCCTTGGGGGACCCTATCACTCTCTCTGCAGGGCTGTCCTGGAGCAGAGGGAGCAAAGCAAGAGCAGAGGGCCTTGGAGGAGCCTGGAGAGGACAGACCAGTAGCCACATGCTGGGAATGCAACAGAGGTCCCCCTGCTCCTGGTGCATGCGGGAGACTGGATAACTGACCACTGAGAAATGCCCCGTAGTAAGGCGTTTGGGCTTGGAAGGCAGACTGCTTGGGGAGACCTAGACTTTTCCATTTCCTTCCTAGCTGTGTGAACTTGCAAAGTCCCTTCCTCTTTGAGTTTCCTCACCTGCAAAATGGGGCGATTACTTTCACAGCTCACAGGACTGTTATGAGGAGGAGAAAACCCACGTGAAGTACTTAGCAGGGTGCCTAGCATACAACAGGTGCCCAACAAATGCTTGGGGAACAAAGAACAGGTCCAGAGGTTCACTCCAGGCTGTCAGGATTTCAGGAGCAATTCCCAGGATAAGAGTTCATTCCTGGATCCTTGATAAAAAAGAAATCCCATGGCCTCCGAGGCACCATGGCTAATCTGAACTTCTGGGGCCCACACATCAAGGGTGGCAGAGGTCTAAGAGCAGGGTGCTGTTCTGGCACTGGGGGAGGGGACCGGTTTCCACCTTGGGAGTCAGATCTGAGACCCCACTGCAGCTACCGCAGTGTGAAAAATGCCAGGAGCCGGATGTGGAGGCAAGACCGAGACAGAAGAGTGTCTCATTATGGAGGGAAGGAAGGAGTGAATAATTCATCAAAGACACTCACCATGAAGGGGGTGGGTAGACAAAGCTGGGCACAGCACAGCCCTGCCCTCTGTCCAGGAGGCCCCACATAGCCAGCAGGAGAGATTACTATCCTTAATAACCTTGTTATCCCTAAAACTACCCATGGCACCTCCAATACATCCACTCCACCCACCCTGGCCTGGGAGGCCAGGGATAGACCCCTGCCCGGAACCTCCCTAAGCTCTTCTCCCCCACCCTCCCCTTCACCCCCTCTGCTCTAGCCTCACCAGCCTGGGAACACCCAACAAGTTCATACCCCAGGACCTTTGCACTAGCTGTGCCCTCTGCCAGCCACATTCTTCCCCTGGATAGCTGCATGGCCCCCTCCCTCAACTCCATCAGGGTTTTGCTCTAATATCACCTTCTCAGGGTGGCCTTCCCTGAACATCTCATTTAAAACTGCCCCCAATTACCCAGACACCCCATCTTCTCTCCCAGCTTTATCTTTCTCCATAGCATTCAGCACCACCATATATTTTTCTTATTTGTCTTGCTCCCTCACTGTCACTCCTAGAATATCAACTCCAGAAAGGTAGCGGATCTAGGTTGATCTTGTTCCCTGTTATAAACTCCCGGGCCTAAAACAGTACCTGGCATATAATAGGTCCTCAATAGATATCTGTTGAATGAGCAAATGGCACAGGGTATTCTGCTGCCTCAACATCTATCGAATTTGCCCATCTTATAGCCCTAGGTCCTCACCTCTCTCTAAAAACTCAGTTGTCCTTGCAGCCACATGGTGAAGAAGGTTCTATTATTAACCCGAATTTACAGATGGGAAAACTGAGGCCCAGAGAGGTAAAGCCACTTGCCCTGGTTGCACAGCTGGGATTTATTCCCAGCAGTTGGCTCTAGGGCCTGTGCTCTGCGTATCCTGCCCCCCTTACATTAACACACATGAAATTAAATCCCTCATTCTTTGAATTGAATGTGACCATTTTATGCCCCCAGAAGCCAAAGAACAGCCCCTTGGGGAACCTCACTGATCTGATCTCCCAAAATCTTCAGTTTCACCCTCTGGGGGGCGCCATCATTACACCTTAAGCTATGGAGGAAGACACTGTGACCCTGGAGCATCTAGGTCCTTTGCGGGCACCGGCATCCAGCACATGGATGTTAGAGGCAGGCTCTCCCCTCCCCAGGCCTGTTTCCTCAAAGTCCAGATGTGGACAATGGCATTGTCAGGAATGTCTGAGATCGGCCGGGGGTGTGCACTGGGCGTCCAGCACTGTGGAGGTGCTCCCATCTCTGTGCACACACAGAGGTGCTCCCCCTGTGTCTCAGACCAGGATTAAAATCGGGGGAGCTGAGCCAGGACTGAACGCCTCCTTTCCCCAGCCCCCCAGTTCCGGCTTGGACAGGGGGTGCTGCTCCTGAATTCAGATAAAGCCTCAAATCCCAGTCTGGGGGACACAGGAGGGGTGTCAGGTGGCCACGTGGCCCAAGGACTCCACCTCAAGCAATCACAGGGTGAGGAACTTTGGGGTCCTACCTAGATAAAACGGGAAACAGAAAGCGCTATTTAAAAATAAGGGCTGGAAGTGGGGAGATGTACCTCAGGCATTAAAAATAATACTTTGAAAAAGGAGAGGAAAAACCTCCCTTTCCCCCAGTCTCTTAAATCCTCCTCCCGTGAGCTTTCACATTTTCACAAATGGATGCACAAGCTCACTGTCTGGGTAGATAAGTTCCCGTGCCTCCTTTAGGGCATAAAGGAATGGAGAGAGTCAGCGCACAGTGTGCCCACGGTCAATCAAGGCACACTCCCTTCCGTTTTCTTCGCTTATTTCCTGGTAGGGGCTGGCTGGTCACAGACCTGATCCCCCTGGGGTCAGTGGTGTGTGTATCGGGGCGGGAGGAGGCTCTGAAGGGAAAGAGGAAGAAAATGCCTGGGCCTCTGATTAGAAGTTGGAATTTAAAATTACCAGGTGTCTACTGTGTGCCAGGTCCTGCCCTGATCATCCCGAATCATCTCTGCAATCTCCGGAGGGTGGCTTTTCTTGGGTCCGTTTTACCGATGAGGAAACTGAGGTTCTGAGTGGGCCACACGGGGAGTAAAAGCCAGGGGTAGGATTTGAATCCAGGTCTGTGGGGGACAACACAAGCACTTCCTGAATCTCCACAGGGGCAGAACCTGATCTATCGCATTTAGCTGGCTGTTCTCCAAATCCTGGGGAAGCTCAAATCTGTAGCAGCCCTGGATGTGTCTGCCCATCCCTCCAGCCTAGAAGGAGCCACTGGGTTCTCAGGGTCTGTGGACCTGCACCAGAGGACAATAGCCTTGAAGGCGGAGGGGCTCCTCCCAACATAGAAGTCCCTGGAAAGCCCCAAGGTAAACCCTGTTCCTGATGCTCTCCAGGCTTCTGCTGCTCTGTCCCTGTGGGAGGGGCTTCCAGGGACCTCTGGGATGTCAGACCACTGGATGCCATGGGCCAGTACAGAGCAGAGCCTAGTGTCCTCTGTCATCCCACAAACTCTGCTATCCCTTGACCACTCCTGAGGTAGCCCCTCCCTATGTAGGCCCCTCAGAGCATAGAAGATGCTCATGGCAGTTATTAGAGCTGGCTTGAGAGAGCCTCTGTGTGTCAGCTGTGTGGCCTTGGGCAAGTTATTTAACCTTTCTGTGCCTCAGTTTTCCCCTCTGCACAGTGAGACTAAGAATGAGACCAACCTTATAGAGCTGTTGTGAGAAGTTAATGAGTTAATGCATTGTCTGGCATACTGTGGCACTGAATTAATGTCAGTTACTATTGTTCTTATTAACAGTATAATTATTCTTAGTTCTGAGGCCTGAAGCTCAGAGACTGTGATCCCACCACCTGCCCCAGCCCTCCATGTTGTAGATCGGGAGATGGCAGTACTGGGAGGCCACAGGTAAAACCTGAGGTCACACGGCCTGGGGGACTTGACTCCCAGCTCCAGACACTCCTCCACGAGCCCCACTCTCACCCCAGCTTCTCCTAGACCCTGAGCCCCCTCCTAGGGCCCTTTTAGGGGGCTGGACATGTGTCCAGGGATGAGACCCTGCACATGCTAGGACTCAGCATAGACTCAGTCTCACGCAGGCCAAGTACTGCCTTCACCCTTGACTCCCCCCCCTCAACTCCCCACACAGAGCCCACACCCTCCACATACACACACACTCTCACATACATGCATGCACAAAGTCCTCCTGCTGACCCAGCTAACCGGGGCAGCCCCATGTCCTGAATAGAGAGGAAAGAAAAGGGCATTAGGGACATACCATGTGAGGGGGGGTTGATGAAGGAGACTGGCACTGAAAGAGAGAGAGGGAGAGAGAGAGAGGGAGGGAGGATGGGAGGGAGGGAGAGAGAGAACACCAGACAAAGAGAGACATAAAGAGATGGAGAAAGAGACAGAGGCAGAGAGAAAGATGGACAGAGTTAGACTCAGACAAAGAGATGGAGATGGAGAGAGAGAGAGAAAGAGAAAGAAAAAGAAAGACTGAACAAACCAGAGAGAAATGGAGAAATAGGGAAGCCATCTGGCAGGAGACAACAGCTGGGGCAGAGAGAAACAAGACACATGCACAGATTCAGAAAGAGACTCAGAACAGAAGAAAAACCCCCAAAGCACCAGAAGAGACAGGGTCAAGGCGAAGCGCGGAGAGACAGCGCAGGGAGGAGAGGCCCGAGCGGAGGTTCCCCCTGGGCTCCTCAGCCTCGCGCTCCGTCCAGACCCAAGTCCAGCCTCCCAGCCCCTGGGCAGGCAGCGGGGTCTGCCCGGCATCCCGTTCCTGCTTGGTACCTTTGGGCCGCCGCCTCACCACGCCTAGCCGCCACTTGAGCGACACAGCCAGCATCGCCCGCTCCTGCCCTCGGGGCCCAGGGCCAGGGATGAGACCTGCCAACGGTCCAGGTGCTCCTGGAGCCCGCGCGCCTCTGCGCTCCAGAGCTGCCTGCGCTAGCTGGCAGAGGCTGGGCGCTCCCTCCCTCCACCCTCCCCGAGTTGCTAAAATAGATAATCCTCCCTGGAGCCAGCGGTGGTGGCATCAGTGGTGGCAAACGCTTTCTTCACTGCAGTCTGGGCTTGAAAGTGCAGCTCCGGGATATTCTGGACCCTGCAGCATATCTCTATGCCCCCCCACCTCCTCACTCAAGTCCTCTTCCTCTCTAAGTGATTGCCTTGTCCACCCCTTCTTTTGCCAACATCTAACAATCCCACTCCCCTCCTTCCCTAGGCTGGGCTGTCTGAATGAATCTCCTAGGCCTTTGGGCTTGCAGGGTCCTCTACCTGGAATGTCCTTCCTCTCTGGCTCCATTAAACTTCTCTGCCCGGGGATGTTTGCTCAGCCTTCGGAGATCCCTGTTTGCTGGAAGTCCTTGCCTACTGGGTCTCAATAATGCTTTTCATACTAGGTTGAGATTGTCTACCCACCCCCAAGACTGGGGGCTTCCAAAGACAAGGACAGGGTCCACTTGTCCTGTGTCCCCTGCAGTCAGCACAGGCATTTGATGGCGTCATCGGTGTAGAATGATGAGATCTAGGCCCTGCCGCTTCACTCCTAACCTCTACTGTTATCCTCATTTATGGGATAACCAGAGAATCCCCCCAGCTGGCTGGTGGGGTGGAGTTGATGGGACTATAAGGGAGCGTTCCAGGCATTCAGCAGGAATCAATAAACGCATCTGGTACCCCCTCCTCTAGCTAAACAGAAAAGCTCTGACTTAGCAAAAAGAGAGTGAAAGGAGAAATCAGAGAACACAAGCCTCTGGAGATGGACAGACCTGAGTGAGTCCTGACTAGGCATGCCCTGCTAAACCTCAGTTTCCTCATCTGACTAATGGGGCTAACAGTTCCTGCCTTTCATACAGCGAGGGCTGTGTGAGATCATGTGCCTACAGTGCTCAGTTAAGTCTAGCAAACAGTAGTTGCTCAATCAATACATAAGCAACAGCTACTAACATTGTGATTATTCTGCATGAGCCCAACTCCTGTGTGTGAGTGAAGACAGGAGGTCCAGCAAGGTAATGGTCTGGCTGACGTCAGACAGAAGAGCCAGGAATCCAGCACTTTCCGCGAATATCTCGTTTACGCCTCACAGTGCACCAGGATGGTCCTAGGGTCATCCTCATTTTCCAAATGAGGAAACTGAGGCTCTGAGAGGTCCAAGATGCCCCCAAGCTCACACAGCATTCAATTGGCAGAGCAGGTTCTCAAATGCCAGCCACCAGACTATGCCACTGCCATGTGAATGCCATAGAGAAGCCCTTGTAAAACCCCTGCTGTGTGCCAGGCTCTAGGCGGAGCACCCTGCTGGCCTAGCCCAGGGAGGTGAGGCTGCTTGACTGGGGTCAGTGCAGACTGTTTAGGGCAGAACTGGGGAGGGAGCCTGGACAGTCCAAGTCCAGAGTAGGGGCTCTGGCCAAGGTGGAGGTGGCTTCCCACTTCAGTCCCTGCCTTTGGTGAGAAGACAAAAGTCCCAGGTGGCCTCTGTCAGCAGTTCAAATGGACCTGTGGTAAGTACAGCAATAAATAAGGCTGCACAGGTAGGTGGGCGCTGAGGCACTGGGTGGGGGAGGGCCAGTGGCCTGGGCTAGGAGGGTTTCCTGTCACCAATTTACCCTGGTGGATGCCCTGCAAACGTCCCAGGCCCCACAGGTGAGCACACCCCAAGGGCCAGATCCACCCAAGGATAGAGAGGTAGGTCAGCCCACAAAAGGATCCAGGTCAGCCTCCACCCCTCCATTCTGGTTTTTCCACTCCTGCCTCAGCCTCACAAAGCCCCAGAGACCCCAGCTGCTGCTACCCCCACCACTTTCCAGAAACAAATTAGCATCTCATCAGACATGCCTTTAATCTTCTCAGCCAGGCCCTTTCTTCCCCCTGGGCCAAGTGGTGACATTTCTGCCTCCCAGCTCTGCTGATGTAAATAAGACAGAAGCCTCCAGGCTTTAGAAGAAAGGGGGTGGGGGTAGACCCCTCTTAAGCATTTCTCCAGGCTGGGGGAGGGAGAGGACGAGGGCCACCCATCCATTCATTCACTTATTCAACAAATATTTATTAAGCACCTTCCGTGTGCCAGACCTGGAGGTACAGCCCTGAACAAAATCAAGCCCTCACGGTGCTGATACTCTAGTGGGCGAGACAGAAAAGAAATGACAAATGTAATAATTAAGTAGATTAGAGGTGAGTATGCTAGAGTGAAACCCTCTAGAAATAAACAGAGCAGAGAGAAGTGTATCAGAGTACGGAGGGAAATGTTGCCCATTATAAAGGTGGTGGTTTCCCCAGAACCCAGACCATGGTCTCTAAATGCCTCTTCCCACTAAAAGGGCCCCCAGGGCTCCTCAGAAAATGGCTTATTCCAGGACTGGGGTAGTACAAGGTGAGCCTGGAACATCTTGTGGCACCAGAAAATAAGGAAATATTCAAAGTCTGATGGGGGCAGCTTGAAAGGACACAGACACCAGCTTGAGGGGGCTCTCACTGGCCAAATCTGGGACAGCTTGAACATCACAAAGAATAATAACTGCAAACCTCTAAAAAGCCATGTGTTCATGATTCTTAAAAGGAAAAAAAAAATCTCAGGGGTCCCTTTAGACGTAGTAAAGGCACCACCTTATTATTCTGCAAACAGAAAATGAAGGTGAAGAATGAGAATGAATGAAGCATGTATCCTATTTCCTTATATGAACAGTATTTAAGGGGAATCCAATCGGGGAAAGTCATTCTTTACCGAAGAACCACAGCAAACTCGTGTAGAGGAAATAGTAGAATTGGAAAACCATCTTTTTGCAGTCCTAATGAAATTAAGGATCCGGCACTGACCATCAATGGAAAGTTGAAAAGGACCAAATGGTGGAGGGACCAGGCAGATAGCACTTGAATCCCTGGACGGATCCTTGCATCACCCAAAGTGGAACATTCTGACATATGCGTCTCCTGATAGGATGTGGTGAGAAACTCACGGCACCACCCACGATGTATCCTTGCCTACAAAATTGGACCTGAATCAAACCCAGCTTTAGACCCAAATGCCAGTGGGCAGAAAGTACAAGGAACAGAAGAATGTATTAAATGACACCACGAGGCCATTCCATAGGACAAATGACCCGGTTTCGCCAACAAATAATTAGAGTGGAAAAAAAAAAATGAGGGAGAAGGGACTGTTATAGATTAAAAGAGACTTAAGAGACCCATCAACCAAATGCAATACGAAGACCTTAGCTGGATCCTGATTGGAAAAACCAAGTGTGAAAAGACATTTGGGAGACAAGAGGGGGGAAACTGCACAAGGATTGGGGATGAGATGATATTAAGGAATTACAGTTAATTCACTTGGGTTGATGCTAGTATTGTAATTATCTTTAAGAAAAAGTCTGTCGGTTGGAGATGCCAACGAAACACAAAAAGTCCGCAATGTGCCCTTAAAATGTCTCAGGGGTATCGCTGTGTTTTATGTGCCATGTAGTTGCAAATAAAAATTTGAAAAATAAAATTAAAATAAGCACAGGGGTCATAAAAGGCCTCATTGAGAAAGTGACATTTGAAGAAAGGCTGAAAAGAGGGAAGGGTTGGTGGGGGGCGGTTCCAGCAGGGAGGGGGTGGAGCAACCTGGGTGTCCAAGGAGGAGGAAATGTGACAGGAGGGAGTGGGGGTGTAACGCAGGGCTCCCTAAGGACTCTGGCTTTTCCTCTGAGGGAGGTGGGAACCATTGCAGCATGTGGAGAAGAGGAGGCTTGTAGTCTGACCTATGATTTCACACCATCCTCTGGCTTCTGGAGGGAGTAGGGTCTGCGAGAGGGGGTTGGTGGGGGAGGGACCAGGAAGGAGGCCCCTGCAGGAGGCTGGGGAGCCAATGGTCACTGGATGGGGGTGGGGGCAGAATCTGGTTTCTTTAAGGTCCAGCCACCTTCCTCGGCCAGGGTTAAACATTTGCCAAATGGCTGATGCTCTTTTCTCTGGGGTAGCAGCATGAGCTCTGGGGTCAAAAAGGAGTGGACTCAGATGCCAGCCCCCACTCTCTGTGTGGTCACTTTCCCACTCTGCGTCTCAGTTTCCCTGTTGGTAAAATGAAGACCATGATTAAGAACTTGGACAATCATTAGGCTGCTCTATGGGAACAATGGAGGTGAAAATGTCCTGCAAACTGGTAAGGGTTGGACATGTGTCACCAAAAGGAAAACAGCCTTTATTGGGCACCTACTACGTGCCAGGCGTGGAGCCCAGGGCTCGACAGGCATCAAGCCTCACCTTATCACAGGTTACATCACCTGGGGAACTTAAAACAACTACTGGTAGATCAGAAACTTTGCCGGATTCTATTCAACTAAGCTAGTTTAGTGGAATCGCTGTCTCATTGCTACCCTGTAACAAATTCGAGGCACTGATGTTCAGAGAGGGAAAGAGGTGGCTCCAGCATCACACAGCTTCCAAGTGGCAGAGAATGGGTTTCTAACATAGCCCAGCTCTTTTATCTCCTCCAGACCCTCACCAGACCCCTTCCAAGGCCAAGAGCCAGCAAACAGCCCCACAGGATGCACAAACCCTACTCGGGGAAACAGCTCATCCATCTGATGGTTCCAAGACATTTCTCAGCCAAGAAAGAAAGTGCCACCGAGCATTTTTGGCATGGGCCAGGGTGGCTGTTGGACAGGTGCACTAACAGGGCCACCTGCCAGGAAACAGGTGGCAAGCCTGTTAATATTCCTGGCACTGCATCCACAGAGCAATAATTAGGCGCAAATGCCTGGGCAGGCACCATTAATGAGTATGGTGGGCACTTGGACAGAGGTGACAGGAATGATGCAATCATGGGCTCTGGGACAGAGGTGACAGAAATGATGCAATTATGGCCCACAGGGGCAGTGGCT